AGTATATGGAAGGTTTCTCTCTTTCTCTCTGTTTCTCCCTTCATCTCTGTCCCTCTGTCTTTCAAATAAATAAGTAAAGCCTTTTAAAAATTCCTTAAAGAACACAGTGTTATCCACCAAAGGAAGGCCATGAGCACTACAGGCCAACCAGGAGCTTCGTCGTGAGTTGAACACCCCTTCTCAGTCCCAACTTCAATCTACAGGGACCTTTAGCCTCACCCCCCCCCCCCCGCCCGACTTCTGGGAGCCCAGGGGTGGAGCCATAGTTGCCTGGCTTCTTGCTCTGCAATTTGCAATGAACACCTACTTTCTTCTACCACTCAAGGGTCAGTAATTGATTTATTTTGTGTCAGGTGAGTGGACCTAGTTTTTGGGGAGCCACAGCAATTTCTCCAATCAGTTTTACAGATAATAAAACTTAACTGAAGGGACCTTACACCACTGGTCCAGAATCCCACTATGGGTGGCAGAGCCAACATGCAAGCCATGTGTCCCCAGACCTGCCCCTGGTCACCAGGCCAACTGTGGCAAAGGTTTCCATGTTCTGCTCATTTCACAGACTGGGCTATGTGTGCGACGTGACTGCCACAGCCTCTGCTTGCTCTGTCTCAGCGCCTACGTCAGAGACCCTCGTGCCCACCTGCCGCCTCCCCAGGAGCATGCTGAGAGTCAGAAGGTCAGTGGACGTGGAAGGCTGTGTACACAGGCAGAGCAGTGTCTGTGTCAACACTCTGTGTCACAGGAACTTGGCATTATGAGAAGCGCTCCTGAACCCCTGAGTGTCACCCACTTCCTGCCACATGATGGGGCTTGATAGAATCTTTGCCCCGTGCGTTGCTGCCCTCAGCTTGAGCCCGGGCTCCTGCTTGTCTCTGTGTTAGAAGCTTCTTGAAGTCAAAACAAACAAAAATGCTCTCTGTAACTTCTAATGATTGCACCAAGTTTCTTTCTGGAAATGCTAGCTATGGGCCTGTAATTTTAAATAACATGTTTATATGGCCTTGCGTTTCTCCAGGTAGCATGCACATGTACACACACACACACACACAAGCACACACAGACACACTGATTTTGAAATTTTCCGTTCAAATCCAGAGTCATTTTCTCAAAGCCCCTAGGATCCATCAGTGACTTGCAAAGAAACTTCCAGGCTATTCTTGTTAGGAAGTTAGATGTTGGCTTATGTATGTGAGAGACACCCAAGAAGAACAAAGCACCCATGGGAGCAGCCCAGGATTTTATGTTGCAGTTATGCCCAGGCCCCAACCCTTCTCTCCCCCGCTCCCCCCAGCAGAGTTCTCTCTGCCCAGCACCCAGTGGGCTACCCAGTCTGCTGACACTTCATCTCTTTGGCATCCAGCAAACCCATTCCACCAGAGAGGAAGGAGGAGGGGATGGAGTGATCTCCCCTGCCCTTAGGAGCCCCAGTCTGAATGCAGAGTACATTCTCAGCCCTTGCCAGAGTTGCCTGCCTGGGGTCTCTGGTGAGTCTTTCACTACACTGTGTCACCTTGTGTAGGGCAGTCTGACTGGCAAGACGCCCTGCACTTCTGCCTGGAGAGGGGTCCATCTGGTCTTACTGATGCCCTTCCCCATTAAACCTTGCTACCTTGCTGGCCACTCCGGTCTGCCTCAGGATTCAACTCCTTTGTGTGCTAAGACCTCTCGCCACTCATCTCTGCTAACAATCAGAGAAAAACAACTGCTGCAGGGTGGGGAGTTGGTTACAAGAAAGATGGTCAGGAGGGATGGAGAAACTGGGATAATAACCCCAGGGCAACCTGGAATTAACAGCCAACGGAAGTCGCCATCCTGCCAGTAGAATCAGGGTCTGGGGCCTCTCGGTCACCTGGCTGCAGAATTCAGAACCACACAAGGCCTTCATGTGTGCCACTGCAGCCTTGGAATGGAGCTACTAGAAACCCACAGCAAATCCCTCCCTTTAGTCTCTTGGTAGTGCTTCTTTTGACTGAACCCGGGAGAAATCCACCCCCATGCAGCCATCCCTGTGGCCAAAGCTGAGTGATGGAAGGCAAGGACTAGATCTGAGCGCCAACAAGCCCAGGACTCTGATGGTGTCTTCTGTGGGCCCCTCCAGTACCACTGCCTTCTGTTGATCCAGCTTGCAGCCCTTGTCCTGTGCTCATGCCCTCTGCCCAAGGCAGAGATCATCAGTGCTGGTCCCTTTGTGGGTCATTCAGGTTTGAAAAGACTATCCAGGCTGGTGTTGTGGCATAGTACATTAAGCCATGGCCTACAGCACCAGCATCCTGCCCATATGAGTGCTGGTTCGAGTCCTGGCTACTCCACTTCCATCCTGCTCCCTGCTAATGTGCCTGAGGGAAAGCATTGGAGGGTGGCCCCTGCACCCAGGTGGGAGACCTGGAAGGAACTTCTGGCTTTGGATTGGCCCATGTCCAGCTGTTGCAGTCATTCCAGCAAATGGAAGATTTCTGTCTCTCCCTCTGTTACTCTTCCAAATATACATATTTTAAAGTAGTGACCATCAGAACATTTTTATCGATGTCACTGAATAAATTAACAAAATCCCTTCCCATCACAGGTCATCCCTGTCTCTCTCCTAAGCCATGTTCACTTTTCTTTTGAGCACTCATTGTCATTTGGTTTATTTATTTCTTCAGTTATGATTTGAGGAACCTAGAAAATTACAAGCATTCCTGGAGGTACTAAGGGGCAGTTGAGAACAAATCTGTAAGCTCTTTGCTCAGGAAAGAGCTTCTATTCTGGTGGAGGAGGAGGAAACTAAGCCAGCACCACAGGCAGAGGAATAGCTTGACATGCCACCACGCAGGCTCCTGGAACATATTGCTTCTTTTATTATTATTATTTTTAAAAGATTTATTTCATTTATTTGAAAGGCAGGATTACAGAAGATAGGGAGAGAGAAAGAGAGATCTTCCATCCGTTGGTTCACTCCCCAAATGGCTGCAGTGGCTGGGGCTGGGCCTGTCCAAAGCCAGGACCTGAGACCTCTTCCACTTCCTTCACATGTGTGTGGGGGGTGTCCAAACGCTTGGGCCATCTTCGCAGGCCATTAGCGCGGAACTGAAGTGGAGCATTTGGCACTCAAACCAACACCTCTATGAGATGCCAGCATTGCTGGAAGCTTTACCCACTATGCCATAGCCCCAACCGTGCATCTTTAGTTTAAAAACATTTGTTTATTTTGAAAGGCAGAGAAATAAAGGCTTCCCACAGATTTTTAAGAGACTTGGGTAGCTCATAACAGGACTCATTAGGACATAGAGGAAAATTCAGGCCTTAAGGATAGGGGAACTCATGCCCTTAGCCCCTGGGCAATGAGATGGCAGAGGGAGCTGTGAGAAAGGTCTTCCCCTGCAGCTGAGAGAAAAGACTGACCAAAGAAACCAGAGGCAGCAGCAAAGGAAGAGGGAGTGGAACGTGTTGGTTCCTGGAAGCCAGGACAGGCCAGGATGGCTAGGAGGAGGGCAGGCCGGTCAAGGCTGATGGAGCTGAGCAGTCTGCAGAGGGGAGTTGGGGGAAGTGCTGTGATTTGACAGCCTGCAGGTCACAGGTGTCTGGGGATGAAAGCCTGGAGGATGGGATGTGTGCTTGGAAGGGAGCGGGAGGAGAGGCCCTGGGCACAGAAAACTATGCACCTACACCTCTATGGCCTGGCTTTCCACACCATCCATGGACAGCTCTGAGCAAGGGCCTTTGGGCACCTGATTTACAGCAACCCAGCACACTTGTGTGCATGAAACCATGTTGACTATTCAGCCAGTATCCCCTTCACCTGTGGCGCCAGTTCCTTGTGATGTGGTCACCTCCACAGAGTACAGCAGGTATTACAGGCTCCAGGAGGGACTGCTTTGGTTCCTTCTAGTGCTAAAATTCTGTGGTCATGTGTCTTGTTCCATCAGCCGTCTTGTGTTACTACAGTAAAGAATTCATTTGTTCTTCTTGGCTCGTTCTGGCCAGCCGGTGTTCCCTGCCATGGCTGGAATAAGCGTTCTCTTCATCAACTTAGCAAACACCTGTGGAGCACCCACATTGCATCCCCCAGCTACAAGGGGAGGTGTTGGGGCTTCCCCGGGCTGGCTCTCTGCTGATGCATGCTTCTGTGCTTGCCCCGAGGAGGGAAGGAGTGTTGGACAGCCCAGGAGATGGGGTGGGCTGAGGGAGGAGCTACGGAGCAGCAGCTGTACACCGCACAGAGCAGCATTCACCCAGGCCTAAGAAGCACCCTCTATCTGCCTCCCAGAGCAGCTGTGCAGGCCACCGGAGGGAGGGGAGATGCTGTGGTCAGCCTCACCCCACCCCAGGCCACCACTCACCCATTCAGGCAGTGAGGGCTTCCTGTGCGGGCTGACCAGTTCGTGTTTGCATTCTCCCGTTTGCCCTAGCCCGTGGAGCTCTGCTACAGGCCCCGCGTGATGGGGTGGGATTTAGCTCGGAGCCTCTCGAGGTGCAACAAAGAGGGCTCCAGGTGAGAGCCCTCCACAGATGAGGGGTGGAACCAGGACAAGAAAGCAAGCAGGGGCCCAACTCGCAGGAATAATGGGAAGAACGTGGATTTCATAGTTGATACCTGGGTGCTACAAGCGTCAGGTGATCGCTGCCTGCTCCTCCTCTAGAAGCAAAACACCTATTGCAACTGTGAAAGAAGGAATTGCGCCCTTCCGGATCCAGCGTTATCTTATAAGCTAAACCCCTTTCTAACATTTAGAAGTGATCTTCGCACGTTTAGAAAGGTGGCGGAGTGCCAGGCCAGGTCCTCCGGCGAACCCGACCTAGCCCCTGAGTTCCATTTTCCACTCATTTCCTCTGTCCCTCTTCCACCTGTCTCCCGCCCCAACAAAGACGGGAAGTGGGGTGATCAAGAGGCACGCGATTTGGGGGCCCCTACGCCGCAGCTCGCCCCAGAACTACATTTCCCAAAAGCCTTCTCGGGTCCCCGCCCCAGCGGGAGCGAGGCGCATGCGCTCGGTGCCGCCGCGCCTGGGTCTTTTGGAGACGCCCCTCGGAACCGGTTTCGCGTCGCGGAGCCGGCTGGTCCCGGCGCTCGCTTCTTGCGCCTCCCTGGAGGTAGCCGGGTCAGGTGTGCCTCGGCTCCGGTCAATGCCATGATCCGGCAGGAGCTTTCCACATCCTACCAGGAGGTAGGAGGGAGTCGGGGACGGAAGGGAAGTTTCTCGTGAGGCGGGGGGCGTCTGTGCGGGTGGGCGTCCGGGCTGCGCGGCGAGGGCGCTGCGGAGCCCGGGGTGAGTGCGTCCGGAGACGGGTCCCCGGGGACTGAGCAGCCACTGAGGGCGCAGGAAGGAAGCGGGGCGGCGGAGCGGGGGCGCCCTGCCTGCTTCGGATGTTGCGGCTTTCTCGGCCGAGGGATGGAGTCGGGTCCCCCGGAGGCAGCAGGTGAATGTGCGGCCGGCGGGAGCGGCGTGGGCAGCTGGGGGAGGTGCCCGCGTCGTCCTCGCGGTGGACGTCGGGCGAGGCCCCGGGGGCCCGGCAGCAGCTGGTTGCGGACAGGGATAACGACCTCTCGTTCTGTCGGCCGTACAACTTTGAGAAAGTGCTTTCTCCTGCGTCGCTGCTTCTCGCTGCCGCTGTGCCTCGCACGATTGCAGTGGTGGTCACTTTTCCAGTTCTTTGTCTCGGGTCTACCCTGCTTTGCACGCTGTGCTTCCAGCATTTTCTTTCATGCCAACGCTTGCTCCTGACTCCCCCCACTCTCAGTGGAAGTGCTCCCCTTTGTTCCCCCCGCCTCCCAGGTCCCCAACCCCAGTCTTTGGTAGCACCTTCCACCGCGGCCCCCTCACTTGCCAAGGCCTCGCACTTGCCCACCGGAGCGCCTCCAATTTGTCTCTTGCACGGGCAGGCATTGCCGGACCATCTGTGTGATGCTGCAGTGTCTCCTCCTGAGGCCCTGCCTTGGCGCCAGTGTAGCCTTGCCCGGTGTGCGCCCTCCGCTCATAGCTCTGGAGCGGCCCTTGGTCTTCCCAGAACACTCCAGACTTCCCAGCCAACGTCTGCAGCTCTGCTCTGCTCAGCACGGCAGCTGTGGCGCCCACCCGTTTCCCTCACCAGCTACACCTGTGTACTCAGGGCCTGGCAGGCCGAAGAAGACCCTCTTGTCTTACAGGATGTGGGCTCCTGTTTCCAGGGAGGCTTCAGGGTTCTGGGTAGCACCTCACTAGCCAGGCGTGGCCTCCTCACCTAGCGGGACTCCTGGAATGTCTTTACTGAACTAGGCTACAGTCATTCTGTTTGCAATGCTAGGCCAAGGACGGAGGCCTTGAGTCTGTCTCTTTCTCTGTCTCTCTCCTTCCTGTGCCTCTTCCCTCCCTCCCGTTCCTCCTCCCTTCCTCCACCTCCTCCTCTCTCCTCCTCTCTCCATCTCCCTCACTCTATTCTCACTCTATTCTCTTCCCCTCTCCCTCTCTGCTTTTGTGTTTGGAAGGCTTTAAACTGGAGGTTTTGCCTGATTCTAAGAGGGAGGAGGAGTGCAGGTGTGGGCAGAGAGAAGAGAAAACAAATGCATGCATGAGAGCTGTTTAACTCCAGTCTCCTGGAGGTGAATTTTTAATGAACAACCTTGAAAGCCTAAGCGATGACACCATGAGCCTCGCTGTGCCTCTGCATTCAGTGGTCACTCCTGCAGACTCTGGTCTTGACTGTGCTGGCTGGTGACTGAGGTGCCTCTGCTCTTGCCCTTTGATGGATGAGACTCTTGAGGGAGCCGGGTTGGGGCCTGCCACAGGCTGCTTGCTCAGTGGTGTCTGGCACCTGGACTGCCCCTCCTCTTTTGTTTTTCCAGTGGCAGCTGCAATGGGGCGACTTCACCCAGAGTCCTGGAAAGCTGATGCCAGCTTCGCCTTTTTTTTTTTTGCCCCTCTCAGCTGACTCCAAACCACATTTCCTCTTCCTTTGGAAAGTGGTTAGCATCATGGGCTTTAGATGTAAAGCAGATTGGAGTTGACTCCTGGTCTTGTCTTTCATTGGCTTGTGTGGCCATGAGAGGTGTTGTGTAGTAAATTGGTGTTTTTTGGAAAACACGTTGAAGTCCTGACTCCAGACACTGACCGTATTTGGGAACAAGATTATTACAGGTGTAGTTAAGACATCTTACACTGGAGCAGAGTAGCGCCTAATCAGTCATGGCTAGTGTCCTTTGAAGAAGACCATGTGACTGTCACTATGGCATAATTGGCTGAGGCTCTGCCTGTGTCACCAGAATCCTGTGTGGGTACTAGTTCGAGTCCTGGCTGCTCTGCTCTACTTCCCATCTAGCTCCATGATATTTTTTGATTTACTCATTTTTATTGGAAAAGCAGATTTACAGAGACAAGCAGAGACAGAGAAAGTTCTTCTGTCCCCTGATTCACTTCCCAGATGGCCACAGTGGCTAGAGCTGAGTTGATCTGAAGCCAGGAGCCAAGGTGCTTCTTCTGGGTGTGGGTGCAGGGTCACAAGGCTTTGGACCATCCTCTGCTAATCTCCCAGGCCACAAGCAGGGAGCTGGATGGGAAGTGAAGCAGCTGGGACCAGAACCAGTGCCTATATGGGATCCCGGCACGTGCAAGAAGATTTAGCCACTGAGCCATCGTGCTGGACCTCCAGCTCTGTGGTTATGGCATGGGGAAGTAGCAGAAGATGGCTCAAGTCCTTGGGACCCAGAATTCATGTGGGAGACCCAGAAGAAGCTCCTGCTTCCGGCTTTCTGGTCAGCCTGACACTGACCATTATGGCCATTTTGGAAGTGAACCAGGAGATGGAAGATCTTTCTCTGTGTCTCTGCTCTTTAACTCTGCTTTTTAAATATAAGCTAATATGTTTTAAAAATAGACCATGTGAGGACATAGGGTGAACACTTTGTGAAGATGGAGGAGATATGGGAAATTGATGTATCTACACACCAAGATATGCCAGGTGTGGCTGGCTTCCTTCGAAGCTGTGCCAGGAGATGTGGGACAGAGTCTCTCTTGCAGCTCTCAGTGGGAACCAAGCCTGGCAACACCTGACTTTAAGATTTTTGGCCCCTGTACCTGGGAGAGAAGACCTTTCTGTTTGTCTATAGCTACTCGGTGTGTGGTGCTTTATTCCCATAGTTTCAGAAAACTTACAGGAAGTTTCTTGAATGTTTTGAGCTTTACTGTCTTACTCTGTATAACTGGTGTAACACACCCTATGTCGTGCGTTTTTTCTGATAATTAAGTGAGCACTTCTGCTTCCTTATTCTAAGAAAGCAAGGCTGGTTGAGCTGACCTGTTGGCTCTTTCTGCTTTTCCCATTAGCTGAGTGAGGAGTTGGACCAAGTTGTTGAGAACTCAGAGCAAGCCGACGAGCGAGACAAGGAGTCGATCAAAATCCAAAGTCCGGGCATCTTACCAGGTGAGTGGGTTTGGTGCTGGGGCCAGGGGAAAGTGCTGGAAAATGGTGCTGTGTTGTTGCTGCAGACCAGGCCAGGCATGTCGCCAGCTGTGGGAATGGAGGAACCCCTAGCCTGTGACCTTGGTGTCTGGTTTCGAGTACTGCCCTAGTTTTAAAGCTATACATGTTTAACCAGCCTCAGGACAGGAGATATGTGTAGCTTGGTATCTTGTCTGTCAGTAGCTGGAGCCATTCCTGAGGCCAGGGCATTGGGTACAATGGCGCATTGCTTTGGTCTCTGTCCAGTCCTCTTTCCTAGGAGGCTGCTGGCTGGTGAGCCTCTGATGTCTGGGCCACTTGCAGAGCATTCTGGGAGATTTGCAAGGTGCCACCTTGCGGACATGAGGCCTCTTCAGTGTCACTGCCCAGCTGGGTGAGCAGGGTCCTGTCTGTTGGCATCTGCTGGAGAGGCCTACAGGGAACCCCTGGCAGGTGTGTGTGGCTCTGTGGACTGCCTGCTCCTGGCTACACTCGGCTCTCTTGGCTGTCCTGTTGGAGCTGTTGTCGGGTCACTTCTTCCAGCCTCCTTTGCAGTCATCCCCAATCTTCAGGGGTTGAGCGACTGTTGTGGACCTCCTCCTGTCCTGTGAGTATGCGTACCAGGCTTGCTCCCATGAAGCTCCTGTGTGTGTATCTGTAGCCTAGAGATGACCTGTAGACTCCTGTCTCGCACAGCCTTGACAGCCAGTGTGCAGATGATGGCTCTGTGTGGATGTCCCTAGGGTACCCGACATGCCACATGTCCAGTATGGACATGTTGGTGTTCCTGTTCCCTGTTTGGTCCTCTTCTAACCTGTCGTGCTTGCAGGAATGGAACCACCACACTTAGTTTTGCTTCAGAGTCTGTCTTCCTTTCATCCCCCTTCACTCTGCTCCTTTGCTATGCTCGTCTTCTGCTTTCCGTGTCATTTGTTTCTCATGTAGGGGCTCCCTGTTCTAGTTTTTCTTTGCCTGGAATTTTCTTCTTTCTGTCACCTTGTTAATGAATGACTAATCCTTTCTTCAACTCTCAGCTGATTTTGTTTTTTTAACCTTGTTGGCCTCCTGACAGATCACCTGTACTCTAGTGTTGTCTCTCAGATAGACACACGTATTAGTTTTGTGTTATTACAGTGCAATAACCTAAGGTAATTAATCTTACAAAGAGAAAAGATTTATTTAACTTACAGTTTTGGAAGTTGAGTCCTAGATCTAGGGTCGGGGGAGGTAATGGTCTGGCTTCTGATGAGATTCGTGGGTGACAGTTGCAGGGTGTGTATGAGAGCCAGCAGTCATGTTTCCAAACAGGAAGTAGAGACTGAGTCTGCAGTCCCACATTCGCCTTCAAGGACAGTTTCCTGATGACCCTAGGACTCCTCAAAAGCCTTACCTTTTTTAAAAAAAATTTTTTTATTTATTTTATTGGAAAGTCAGATATACAGAGAGGAGGAGAGACGGGAAGATCCTCTGTCCGGTGATTCACTCCCTAAGTGATCGCAATAGCCAGTGCTGTACTAATCCAAAGCCAGGAGCCAGGAACTGCTTCCAGGTCTCCTGCACGGGTGCAGGGTCCCAAGGCTTTGGGTTGTCCTTGACTGCTTTCCCAGGCCACAAGCAGGGAGCTGGATGGGAAGTGGAGCTGCTGGGATTAGAAATGACACCCATATGGGATCCTGGCACATTCAAGGTGAGGACTTTAGTCTCTACTACGCTGCTGGGCCCAAGGCCTTACCTGTTAAAGGATCTACCACCTCCTGGTGGCACTACTGTCGGGACATGTTTTTTTTTTTTAAATTAATTTATTTTGAAAAGTCAGATATACAGAGAGGAGGGGAGAGAGGAAGATCTTCCGTTTCCTGATTCACTTTCTAAGTGGCTGCAATGGCCAGAGCTGAGCTGATCTGAAGCCGGGAACCTCTTCTGAGTCTCCCACATGAGTGGCAGGGGCCCAAATACTTGGGCCATCTCCTTTCCCAGGTGTATTAACTGGGAACTGAATCAAAAGTAAAGCAGCCAGGACAAGGAGTGACAACCCTATGGTATGCCAGCATCTGATTGTGGTGCGTAGGTTAAGCCACTTTGCCAGCCTTAACCTTGACTGTATTTATTTGTAGGACTATCATTTGTCTCTTCTACTAGAATGAAGTTTCTTGAGATCAAACACCATCTGTTTTGCTCTTTGCCTTCACTGTTCAATAAAGATTTGTGAATGAATGAGAGGGTGGGGCTAGCTTTTTGGGTGAAATAGGAAAAGCAGGATTCTGTTCCTTCTGGTTTCAATAATTGTGGATAATAAGAATGGGAAAGGAAATTCTGTAATTATTCCTACTCCTTAGAGAAGACAGGTGAAAAAGAAGAGGCCTGCTGGGCAGTTAGTGGTTTCTGATGGCTTCAGCTGTGCTGAGAGTCTGTCATACCCACTGCTCATATAATTCTCTTCTTAAAAATAATTTTTATGTAGTTGAAATATAGACAGTTCCTCATCCTGTGTGCCCACAATAGTCAGGGCTCCCAGATCGGGAGCCTGGATCTCCCACGTGGATGGCAGGAGCTTCCCAGCAGAGAGGGGACTCAGACCCAGTCAGATGTAGCAGGACAGTCTGTGTCTTAACGCTCTTGCTGTTGCACTGCCTGTTCCTCTCCTTCCCCAGGTGGTGATCCTCATTTGACAGAGAATCGCCTCATTTCTGGGCTAAGACAGGTTAAGTAAAACAGAAGACCACATTGACTAGTAAGCCAACTGAATCAAGTTGTGTTTGACTCCAAATGCCTTCTATTATACTGGTGATTTTTTTTAACTGATACATAATGTGCATATTTATTGGGTACAATGTGAGATCAGATTGGAGCAGTTGACATGTCCATCACTTCATGTACTTATAATTTCTCCCAAATCTCGTCCAGTTATTTTGAAGCAGGTAATACCAGCCTGTGACCTGCAGTAGAATGCTGGAACTTATGCCTTTCGTCCATTTGTGCTGAGGTCTGTGCAGCAGGTGGATCACGTGTAGGTGTGAAGAGAACAGCTCCCTGCTTGGCAGAGCCCAGGGAGCTTCCAGGTGTTTGGCAGGGCCCGGTGGATATCTTTCTGACTACCTTGATGCGGTTTCACCCCGTTTGCATGGACACTCAAGCACCCCACGAAGAATTCTGTAATCGATTGAGGCATTGTTGTTTGCTCATGCGAGATGATTTTTGCAACCATGTGAGCTTGAGAGTTAATGTCGCTGATGTCTTGGTGAGTGGGCCTTTGACAATTTACACACAAGAGCACAATTAAGCCCATGTCATTCCCGGACACATTATTGGGTACTTAAGCATTGCCTCAGAATCTGGCCCAGTCATGTAGCACACCTTCTGGGTAAGGGTTTGATAATATCCTAAATATTAATACAAGTGATGGGAGTAAGAGCTGAAACTGCTGTGGCAATAAATATGGTTACTGTGATCTCAAAGGCTAGGCTGTCTTTGTAATTTCTGTGGAGTCACTTTCATAATTTTTAGCTAGAGGAATGAAGGATGCTTTTGTTAAAGAAATACGCTTTTACTTATTGATTGTTATAGTGTAGAGCCTATAGTTGTAGGAAGAATTTAACATTTGAAACTTTTGTCTTGGATTTTTATGTCTTTTTATGTCTTTTCCTTGTGGCATATTTTTCCCATTAAATGATGGTGAATTGTAGAAATAGAAATGTAGTAGGAATGTATTACTGATTAGCAGGTAATCGCATGTGCCTTGGCCTTGGAGTCCTGGCTGTTTCTCCATGGCTACTTCTGAAGAATGAAAAATGGCTTGCTTTGAAGAATATGAATACAGTATTTTGCAGAACTATCTTGAGGGGCACCCACTTAGCCCTGAAGTACAGACGGAACGACCAAATGTCTGTGCATGCCCCCTTAGTCTTGGAGTAAAAATAGAACAATTGGTTGTTTGTGTAGAAGCTTGTGGTGTGTCTGAGTAAATAGAAAGGACAGCTTCTTGAGCTGTTGTGAGAGGGCACCAAGTGACAGTGTCCATGTCTTTGTTTATCGCTGACTCCACGTACCCTTTCCGAGCTCCGAATTTGGCTAGAGCTGGTCTCAGGTACATTTGTACCCATCGACCAACCTCTTCCCCATCTGTCCTCCATACCACCATCTCTGAAAACCACTCTTCTCTCTCATTCTGCAAAGCCAGCTTTGTTAGATTCTACTGGAGAGTGGGATCATACATGAAATCCTAACAGTGCTTTCCAGGTCCTTCCATGCTGTCACAAATGACAAAATGTCACCTTTATTGACTGATTTATATTCCATTATGTATATAGATCATGTTTTCTTTGATGTTGGACAACTAGGTTTGTTTCAATTTTTTTTAATTATATTTTTAACAATCTTTACATAGTTAATTAGGGTAAAAAGATTCAAGGGCTATAGGGAAGTGGGTAAGACTATTTCCATATTGTTTCCTTCATGTATCTGAGGTAAAGAGGGATATTGAGGGAGAAACCCCATCCGGTTTCCCACCCACCCCAAGTCCCGCATGTGGGGCATGCTCTGAGATACTTGCTCAAGTGGTTTTGATAATTCACCAGTTATGAATCGCTGCCAATCTCGCCACTCCAAGCACGATGAGGTCGTTGAAGAATCCACTGATTGACACAGTCCCTCATAGAGTCTCCATTTGCCCAGTATTTTGCTGCCGACAAATAGCTGAGGTGGTTGGTTAACTTGTTCTCTCTTCTGTCTTTTCTTGGTTAAGGTTCTCAGTCTGGCATTTTGATTGGGGAGAGCCCCAAAGAAATTTTGAGGTATTCCCAGACCAGATTCTTGTGTGTTCTAGCAAGCACAGGGCCCGGCACAGTCCATTGCCCAGATCAGCTGATGGTTGCAATTGCTGGGTTGGACCCATCTCCAGCCCTGTCCTCCGCTGGAACCAGTGGGTGTTGCAGTCTAGCCTGGTTCTGCCCAGCACATACTCGGCCCTCACATAAACCAGTGGA